GTTTGATGAACATGAGTTGTAACATTGTAACACCAAATAAAATATGTAAATCTAATTCAAAAATAAAAACCTTGCATAAGGGTCAAGAAATTATAACTGGTGTCAAAGATGGGCTGTTGCCTGGAAACCATTAATACCAATTAATACCATCTAGAACTGACAAATCAAGCAGAACCCACAGGCTCTTATTTAGAAGACCGCTCTCTTAAATTGGAAAAATAACAAAATATTCTAGATTCTAATATTATAAGTAATTTACATCCTATTTTGTAAAAAATCCAAATATTATCCAAATATAACACCTGCTGTATTAATTCTTCACACAAATACCTCTCAACTTGACTTTCAGCATTGTTAAATAAGCACCTTCTGGATGAGACGGGACACCTGGTGCTCCAGTTTCCTTATGCGTTGTTCATTAGCCGGGTCCGCTGGGTCGGTGACAGAGCAGCGAACCTGCACACCTGGATCTGTGATCACTTCGGAGGCAATCCGCTGACGAAACTGGGTCAGCACCTCATCGATGCGGGGTGTGGTGAGAGCAACGTCTTCTCTAACCTGCAATGAAACTTAAACTTAAATTTGCTTTTGATTTAAATTTTGTGTTCATAGAAGGTTTTGCTTCAGAGAAAAACGCAACGTATTTAACGTTCAACTTTAGATTGAAATGTATTGATAAGAGATCAGCATTACTGACACACCTTTTCAAAATAAAGCTTTTCTCTCTTAATCCTCTTGTGTCCGTTTTTATTGTGGTTCGGATAAATGTTAATTAATTGTGTGTGTTCGTCTCTGACTATGTGTGTCAATGCTGCCATGTTGACCAGGTGTTTGTTTCAAAATGATTACAGGTTAAATAGATGTTGAAGAAAAAAAACAATTTAACTTGATTATAGTAGTACAATGAAATATACTGGTATAAATATGAGGCTACTAATGGTGTTATGGTAACCACACTGACCGCTTCGTTGTGACTCGTATCCGTTGACAGCAGGAGGTCAACATAATCCTCCAGACCGGGGACGTCACAGGGACTCCCTAAACCTGGATGTGACGGGTTTCCCAGCCTGTCGAAACCATCCAGAGCAGAGATCTGTGGCAACGACTGAATAACAATCTCTCTGTAACCTGCGGCGGCAAGAGAGACACACACTTTAGAGCTACAAGATCGTCCATAAACACAGCCGCTGCTGGTAATTAATCAAGAACTGGAACATATGGATAATGGGTGCACAGCATAGCTGCATATAGAATATGAATTCAGTCAATACAATTGTGAAAAGATGCTCATGAGATGTATAAAGAGATAAATATAAAAACCAGCACTGATTTTCATTGTTGTATCATTGTTGACAATAAAAAGGGAGAGTCAGTTCCTGCACAAAATCTAACAATTATCTGAGATATGAGAGATGTTCTCACATTCTGTCTCCCCTCCCAGAATTGTGGTGGACAAAAGAGGGAAAGATAAAGCCAGAAAAAAGGGCCAGAAATTTGAATAGGCACGTGTTAAAAAGAACCGAGCGTCATTTGGTAAGGTTATATGCAGAGCAGTCAATCTTATACCAATATATTACATTGGTACGACAGATACTTTGTGTTCAAAGCAACTTACAATAAGCATTTTCAGAACTAGATGTCTTCAAAAATGGAAAAACATCCCTGTTGTGCAGACTTTTTTGTGAACAAATATTCAAACTGGAAAGAGACATCAGACATGAAATCTTTTCCATTGAGGATCACAAAAAAATATTTAACCCCTAGGAGTAAAGCTGAAAGAAAAAATGTTTGAGAAACTAGAAACAGGGTGGCTGACACGGATGGTCAATCGAGTGGGAAGAAGATCAGATGGTTGTCGAGATTTGCAAAGGAGGTTCAGGCTACAGTGGAAAATGAAACCGGATTCATTTCACACTACGATGGGTCCAATAAACTGAAGTGTACATATAAAGATTTAGGTTACAGGTTAGATGAACCTTACATTCTTGACAGTTCGGCCTCTTCTAACTGAACAACAACCACTCATAAATAAGCTTTTTATGTTTTACCCGGTGACCGACACACAGCGTTGTCTCTGCCATCCTGGCTCAAAGTGACCTCTCTTAAACTTTGCAGTCCAAGCAGGCACTGCAGGAGGTGATCAATGTTGTCCAAATGGTTGCCATGGAGACTGAGGTGCTTCAACTTGTATTCCGTGCCATGAAGATACAACAAGCCTAAAAAAAATAAACCCATCAGGAATCAACAGTATTGACATGTCAATCATTTGTTTATATTTTTATCGGAGAGCAGACAAATAATGACACGGGAATGGTCAGTCTTTGTTCAACTCACCAGTGACGTTGTTGATCTGGTTGTAGGACACATTTAACCTTGTTAGGTTCACAAGGCCATTTAGTCCTGAGGCGCAGGGAGGGGACATCAACGACACAGCGGTTTCACAGCTCAAAGAGTCAGTAATGAAGAACTAACACACACCCAGAACGCTGAAACATTTATCGTCATAGTAAAAACCGTGACAAGACTCACCTTCAACCTTGGTGATTAAGTTACAGGATAAATTCAACGTCCTCAAGGAAGTGAGGGAACTTAGACCCTCAATCTTAGAAATGCAATTGGAGGAGAGGTCCAAGTGCCGCAGGTGCCCGGCCGAGCTCAGGCCCTGGATCCCTGGGATGCGATTGCAGTGTAGATTGAGGGATGTTACAGTGGGACTCAGGGGGACATCCAGCAAACTAGACAGAAAGCCACCGGTTAAACGACAGATTCACTAAGAAAGAAATGTTAAAAACAGACTTAACGTTATATATATAAGACAAATCAAGAAAAAGTAAACCATCAAGCCAAGTTCAACAAACAATAACCGAACTGTTACCTTGTTATATTCTGATCGATAAGACTCAGCTCCTTGTCTCCCATAACGACAACATGCAGTCAGCGTTATTCTACCGTTAATAACGCGTTGGAAACGTGACCGTTAAGGAGGATAATGACACTTGCAACACATCCCGAAAGCTTTGACGTTAGTTAACGTTAGCTAACGTTAGGTTAACCTAGCATGTTAGCAAAAGTTCACTAGAGATCGAGCTCAAGGGGTTGACACTTGCAAAGCACCGCTACAAGTGCTTTAACAGTCAACAAGAGCTGTGTTGTCATTTCTACACGCCAAAGCAACAGACGTGCGTTTCTTAAAACGTGTTTTGTTATTGTTTTGAGCCTCTGTTCTGTCGAGTGATTGAAAAAGCCGCTTTTAGCTTCGTACTTCCGGTTTAATGACGTAGCCACGGGCAACATCCGGGGAAGTGCGTTCGCTTGGTTTCTACACAGCCGCGTTCATTCAGTCAAAGGTGCCACACATCAGTAAATTAATTTTCATATTACTTAACAGTAGCGTCCACCTTTCTTAACAACATGTTTTATTTCATACTGATTTTATGTTACATTGTAATAAAGTGTGTTTTAGCCTGTTCTGTTCTGCACCTGTCCAAAAGTGAACTCATACATTTGCTTCTTTTAGCCTTTATTTCGCTCACACATTGTTACTTTATTTTAACGTCGGCTCCCGTCTGTTAAACTGACATTGTTTCTTGGTGTTTACTCATCTTGAAGCTGTGAAAAAAGTCATGGGTTTGCTTTCAGTTGCTGCTTTCCTCAGATTTTGTACTCCATTCCTGTTACCAATCACACAGTAAACAATGTGGCAAAGGGGGAAAAAAGACCAACCGATGCATGAAAAACACATTTTTCATGCCTGCCAAGACAAATATGCTGGTGTGAATGATGCCTTTGTTCCTCTTGGCATTTGTGTAAACAACTGGATATAATCTGCTTTGACTCATTGTTTACTTATGTGTATCTTTCTATAATGCCTCACATACAAAAACCAAATGCAGAAAAAAAAACAATGCAGAAGATGGGTTTGATGTATTTCATGCAACACAAATATTGTTAAATGTGATTTGGTCAATCACACAAATATATGAGAAATCTTATCCACTAGTGCAGAGGGAAGTCCAGTGAGATAATCAACTTTGAAGAACAAAGATTTAGAAAGACTGATTTTGTAACAGATGATGGAGAACTTTGCCATTTTGACATAATTTATGGATGTATAACCTAAATACAAATTGGTCCTAATGCTGGTTTACGCTAACACACAATTCATAAAACCAGAACATTGGCTTCATTTACTTCAAGCCCTGTGAAACAAAGCTAGCTGCAAGTTCTGCATCCTCGCTCAGGTACGGCTTATCACAGACGTATTAAGAAGATCCTGAGCCCTCTTGTACTCATAACTCCTCCAGCAGTAAAAAGCCAGTGATTGATTCAGTTCATCACACACTGAACATTGTCCATATTAGAGCTGCATGACTGATGATTGTACTCACTGGCTGCTGGCCAGCGATGACAGAGCCAATTACACCTGAAAACGAGCCAGTGGCCCTCCTTAACCTGTGCAAATGAAGGTCTGGGGCTAATAAAGTGAGTGAATTGGAAAGGCCATCTGCTGCTGCTGCGCCTCCACCACTTACCCCTCATAAGCATGTGGTCTTCAAGGACGCTCCAAAAAAAAGTTGAATATTCTCAAAGCTAATTATAGAATGGACTAACGTAGAGCAATGCTTTAATTAAACTTGAGTCACCTTGCCACTCCAATTTATTGAAATATATATATATATATATATATATATATATATATATATTTGAAGGAGGAGAGAGAAGTTACACAGTAGGAACATGATAATAATACAAATTGCAGTTAAACTTCGGGGGAATATGAATATGCTGCAGAAAATCCCTACAGCCATGTTGCTTTGATTTAGTTAGGTAGAAACATGTAAGAGTGTGATAACGATTTCAGGACATGTTTTTTTTTTCCAACCAGTATGTAAAAAGTTTTTATTTTTATTAAGTAGAAGAACCCAAACAAACAGAAACAATTTCCTTTCCACAATTTAAAAAAATAAATAAAAAATGAAAACCACAACTTCCAGGCAAGCTGTTTTTAGGAGGAACGGATTTATTTTCAAAAACTTCTGTCATCCATAGCTGTGCACCAGATGCAATGAATACAAATGATCTATAATAATAGCCACACTTTTTACCGCGCTGATAGTAAAAATATGACGTTTTGGTCCACTATGAACAGAATACAGAATTCAAAATGCATTGTATCATGTACAACAGATGACAAACATTATATGCATACAACACTGAATAAATTACATTTCAGTTAAATTTACAAACAAAGCGAAATAAGTTAAAGAATAAGTCGTTTCTCTCTCTGCCAGCTCCGTGGCTCTTCCCACTTGCACAATGCACATAAACAGAAAAAACATTCCAACAAAAGAGCGCGTTTCGTGGGTGATCGGATGGACAACACAACTGTATTTTTATGTACAATACATTAGATTAGGAATACAATATCCTTACTTTCCAGAGAGGAAAGCAGCTACAAGGGGAATTACAGATTTCCCTTTCCAGGTGATCTTGATCAGGTTGTCTGGACAATGTTCCTAGCCTGCAGTTACATCAGGAGTGACATGTTCTAATGAGGCGAACAAGCAAAAAAAAAACAAGTTTGCAAAACTCTTCCTCTGCTCTCAGTCACTTCAGTCATCGCTTTCCCTAAACGATGAATACACCTTCTTGATCAAGAAGGTTTTGCTGGCATCTGTCCTTCCCTCTTGTACTTTGGGCTCCCCTTTTCCCCAACTTGAAGAAAAGAGATTACAAGACAGACAGCAGTGATAATTAACATTATTTATATTTACAGTACATTTCTGTAGAAAAGGTAAGCTGCTTTAAGATGAAAAACAGAGGAGGGATATGGACTGCAAACACCATTAAAGTAATGGTATACCTGCAGCCACTGAGATATCCACCGTGGGACAAGCAGTTCATTATGCGATCATCTTAATGACCGAGCGGCCTGAAAAAATATTTCCATTATCGGGCACTCAAGGACAGCCGGGAGGAAATGCCAGCCAGGAGGCAAATTAAATCACAAAGCTATTTGTTCACACAAAAGAAAACCAGGAGATCTAATTGTCCTCAGATGCAAAGTGCGGACGAGACAGCTCCGCATCTCTGCGGCTGCTCAGGCGCTCATAACTGCAGAGAAGCAGTTTAGCTCACGCGACCAGACGGAGAGAATGACGGACCATCTAAGGATGTTTCTCCCTTCGGCTTAAAGTGGAAAATAAGCCGAAAATCTTCTGCATTGCAGCCGATGACTGCTGGACATCGAAAAAGGGGATTCTGTGGTGACTGTGTTTTAAGTCTTTTCACAAAATGAAATGCTAGGTAAATAGAATAGATACATTATAAGAGATTACACACCGACCTTACTCAGTTGTCAATGTCCGATATGTGGTTTTCTATCTGCGATAAAAAGAAAAACATCAGTGAGATAAACATTCATTTTAATAACTGACTTTAAGCTGCACTTGGGGAGGAGCAACTGGGTTTCCAGATAGTGTCCAATATTATATGACATTTTTAGAACGGTTTTATTGCCATATGTCAGATCTTGCATGACCAGGGAGACATTCAGTCATTGATAAGCAGCTTTGACGTCTCATTCTTTTTATTGAGTTGCAGGAAAAACATATTTTTGTCACCGCTGTGGAGACTGTAAATGTCTACTTGACCAGCTCACCAGCTCGCCGGTGTCTTCGTCCTCATAGTCATCGTCACCGCCGTCCGTCATCTCTCCCGCCTCAACCTCGGCTGCCCCCCCCACCTCCTGTCCACCAGAATGGTGCGCTGCGTCACCATGGAGACACTCACACGTCTCCCCTTGTTTCCTCTGCACGTCTGTGAGACGAGAGACTGGCCGTTAACGTCACAGCGAAATCAACGTTTCGAACTTCCGCCTTGATGTACATGTTACTTCACTAACAGAAGGATTTTTTTCAGACAACCCACTTTTTTTTCTTTGACGTCGCCGTCTGTGTGTCTTTCATCTCCACATCTACACGTGTGTGCGCGCTGTGGAATCTTACCGCCGTCAGGGCGATGTTGCCTCTCAATCCTCTCCAGCCTCCCGAGCAGCGAGTCGATCTTGGTCTTGATCTGTGACAGCTCCTTCTTGATCGTTAGCAGCTGGTCCGTCTTCACTGGGAGCATTCATTAGTAAAGTTTAAAAGCATGATTAATGTGATGTTTGACGAGGAGACAGACGTGGCTACGGCAGCTTCTGCGCTGCTCAAGCAAGTTTCAGCTGCCGAGATTGCTGACAGAAATGTAGCAGAGGCACAAATTGGAAAAGGGTGATTCAAATGGAAGTTTTATTACATGCAGTGCAAAGGTTACTGTCGAACAGAAAAGGAAAGTTAAGGTTTTTCCTAGAATGATAATACAGTCTATTCTTAACGAATACTTTGACATTTTTTTAAATGTGTTTATTCCATTCAGTTCCCAAAAGACAGAGCCAGTTTCAAATCGTTGTGCTAAGCTAAGCTAACCGGCTGCAGCTTTGCAGACAGACATGAATGTTGCCAATTGTTTTCCAATGAAAAGCTACCAGATGACGTCACACTCATTTGCATATTAGGGACATAATCAATTTGTAATTTAGTAACGTTTTGTGGTTGTTTCGGTGTTAGAGAGAGATAGAAAGTTAATAAGTTCTATCTAACTACAATATCTTTATTAATGGAAAACTATTTATATATTTATAAAAAAGTAAAGGATTTGCAAGACATGAAGAATTGAATTGATAAATAAAACCCATTAAAATCCTGTCCGATTGCCCTGCCGGAGTTTTCGGATCAGTGGAACCACTTTGGTGAGGACATTCTTATAACAACCTAAAAATGATTCAAACTAACTGCATGACCAAAATTGTAATAAACCTGAATTTCCCTTTAAACGGAGCAGAAAAAAAGTGACAAGGAGAACATACGTTTAGGGTGTGTTGTGGAAGAGCCGACATTGAGCGCTCGGGACGAGGAAGAGGAGGAGGAGGAGGAGGAGGAACAGGCCCTGACTGGAAAGGAGGATTTGGCTCTGCGTGTGGACGGGACGACCAGCCGCGAACGTTTGATGGGGATCACAGCGCGGGTCGGGGGCGCCACGCGGCCGTGGTACTCAAAGAGTCTGAAGACACATGAGAAATAAAAACACTAAAAGATGTAACAAGAGGCTGTTCAGTGCAGGAAACTCTTCTATGCAACGGCGAGAACTGGTTCTGGATTTATGAACAGAAAAGTGCAGTTGTTTTTTTCCACCATGTTATCTAGATGCTGTTACTCCAGCAACAGGAAACATTTACAAAGCCCCTAACAGGAAAGCTGTGAGAGAGGTCTGAATGATAGAGGTGCATATTGAACGCCACGGCCATTCAATCAAGTCTTGCTCCCACTTGCCGACAACACATTAAATTGCCAAAATAGCAATAATGAAACACTCATCAGGGGCACTGCAAAGTAGAGGAAGTAAACATACCAATACATTCTCTGAATGAACAGCCTGGGGACTATCTGACAGTCAGTGCACACCAATGCGGATAAAAGCATTGTTAGTAATTTCAAGGGAAATTAATATAAACCTCCCAATATGACATTATGCCTATGGTAATGTGGTTCCTTTGCTTTGCATTGATATGGGACCATTCTGTTAAAAAACGCATCGTAATAGAAGCAGCGGTCTCTGAAAAGAGTAAAAAGGAGGTTTGAGAGTTAAGGTGCAAAATACCAGGAGAAAAAGTGATTGAATAAACAACGTGGGGAGGAAAGTGACCATTTCGATACAACAGAGATATAACCTTTGACATACCTGCTGTAGAAATCATCTCTGTAGTAGTCATAGTCAAACTCGTAGCCACTGTGAAGACACAACAAGAGTGAGTTTCCACTTAAATGTATTCTTGTAATATTAGAGACATGCGCTTCACACAGACCTGTAGAGGGACGACAGAGGCCTCTTGGAGGCCATCTTAGGCCTGTATGGTTTTGGCTCACCTGCCATGTTAATATCTGCAAACAGAAAAAGAATGGTTGGCATCATGTGACCCAGCGCCTTATAATATCATTTTTAAAAATGGAGCGAAAATCTCACTATGACGAGATTAAGTTGAATAAAAAGGTAAAACTTCAGTCCACCAGTCATTTTTCAAGCGTGTTAAGGCCTGTTTTTGGTTAAAAATGTGTGTTTTTAAAGTCCCCTGAAATGCGTCAGCGCACTTCTGTGACTCTCGCACGCGGCTCGACGTGATTGACGGCCCCTTCGATCTGCCAAGAGCCCCGCTGCGCCGAAACCGACTGGTACCGCCGCCTTCAGTCTGTCGGCTTCGGCTCAAACTCCGTGAGTGCCACTCAGGGTCGTACACAAAAACAAACAAGTAATAAAGACCCAATTCCCGTGTGCACAAACAGAGGCGCACACACACACACACACACACTTGTCTGATGGGAAGAACTTCCCTTGACAGCTTCAAAAAGTTGCACAATAAAACATCAGCTTTGCCTCCTCTGCTTCGGGATCACGCAGCAGCCACTTTCATGACAGCAGCTCAAGTCAAGTCATTTCACACAGTGTCTTAGTCTTAGACCCCCCCCCCCTCCCACTCCGCTGTCCCCCACACTGGTGGAGATCATATTTATTCTCCCGTTGCATTGTTAAATGGATCCTACAACACAATGACTGCAGATTAACCATTGTGTTGCGTTCGGAGCCCGGAATTTGCCTTCCTCTCTGTTTCGCTTTATTCCCTCCTTTTCCTTGCTCGCCCTCCCTAATGGACTAATGAATCCGGGGACGTTAGCAGCCGCTCTCTGGTGCACAGGGACTTGTGCATCATTATCATTAGGCTCCGGGAAGACGCGAGGAATGCTGCACATCGTTAAGTGCGCTCTCTCGTCTCTGGTCCCCTGCTGGGGTCGTTAAAGGGAGAGCGAGGCTCTGAAAAGCGCTCTCTAAACGAACGACGGCAACCACCCACCCGACAGAGACGCACTGAGCCTCTGATTGATTACGCTCATTATATTAATCATACACAAAAATGAAACAAATGTGTGTGAGGCTGTGTGTGACTGACAGACTTAATTGTATTTGTATCCATTAAAAACTTAAGGCCTGGAGACGGAGGAGAGAGAGGCTGTGTTGCTAAGCAATAGCCAGTTAGGAGTTGACTGATACTGCAAACTGCATGCAGCATCACATTAGGGGGGGAAATAAAAGAGTCTTTCTGCTGAAGCCGCCATGAGTGAGTTGGACGCTGCACGTGGAGACATTTTAAAAAGACAACAAAAAGACACTGGCCAACCTCTAGACTTGTGGGACTATAATTCTGAAAAGGAGTATTTCCTTTGTTGCTGTAGTCGCAGAGATGTAGCTCAGATGTAGCGTTGGGTTCAGCCTTTCGGCCGTCACCATCTTGTTTTTTGTGCAGCATATAAGCGACACAAAAACACATAAACCAAAGATGGACCAGGAAATCCTAAAGGTTACACAGAGATTATACTTAATATATATAAAAATACATAGTATTCCAGCCGTATTTTCACATGAGGCTCACACTCAAAAAGGTCAGAGAAGCCAAAGGGCCGTTTTCACGCCGCCTCCCCTCATGTTATAGAAGATGGAAGCTTTAAATCGTGGCCTTTACCGGACCCATTTTTAAATGAGTGTTTTCTTTGGGAAAGAAAGCTGAGTTCTGTCCGTCCGCACCGGGCAGCCTGACTCTGTTTGGCTTCATTCATATTAATGAAGCAGTGCTCAATTACCTTTGAGTGTTTTTCCCAGTTATAAATAGAGGCCTCGCCTCAGCTCGCCCTTGAGCTCTTGGGTCTCCGGAGACGTGGACGAGTCATTACAACCTTTCCGCCGCAGACACGACTTGAAGTCAGTCCACTGGGAAGAGCTTAGATTAAAAAGGAAAAACTCATCTGAATAACTATTTAGCCCTTACGGTGCTTTTATTTAGCTGACCTATCGCGTAGTGGCAATTTTCCTCTCAGCTGGGATGATCAACATGGCTAACAATACATTCCTAACTTATATAGCCGGAGGACGGCGGTGGTTCATATTAAACAAGCGCCTACTCTCCGTCTAATTAAGGCGGCAGAGGTGATCCATGTGGAAGTACAGCCTGAGGAAAGTAATGGGCGAATTCATTTCATGACAGCGAAACGCAGGTCTTTGGCAGGCGAGGCGTCGCTCCTGGCACGGGAACAACGCGACCCTCTGCTGCGACGCCAGAGCAGGTGAGCGGTGTTTGATTAACAGAACAACCGGGCACCTGCGTGAATACAAACGAGCGACAGGGAGAGATTCCTGCGTGACAGCGGCTGCAGATTCAATCTACGCTGCTCTGCTCTCTCTCTCTCACGCGCCACCGTAAATCTGACGAGGACGACTTGAACAATCTCCGAGCTCGACTAAAAGGGCACCGGGCGTTTTAATAGGAAGGCGAAGAAGTCCCCTCCCTTGCAGGGTTTCCCATCGGGCCTTATTTCACAAAAGAAATGTGTCAAATGGTTGAGGATGAAAGACTATTTTTTGATCCTGTCTGAATAATCTCCGGCATGATACAAATTGTCTTTTAAATTGTGTAATATGGGGGTTGGATATGAACAGGGTAGAATTATACTTTCCCACTAATTATTGACTACATACATTTACCAAATTAAGGTCCAACTCTGATGCGCTGATCGAGGGTTTATTACGTCCTGACTCATTCCACTAATCGGCATGAAGACCTCGAACCTTTGAATGCTGTTGTTAAGGTTGTAAAGGCCACGCGTGGATTAATTACTCTCCTTCCTAAATGAATTCCTCGCTCTTTGCCCTTTCGCCCTCTGTAGGGAAACGGTCACTCGGCACCCCGTGAATGTGGTGGCCAGCTCCTGAGCTCCGGAGGATCTAATAGAATCATTTTCATTAGACCTGCTGAGCCGTGGTCCATTAAGAAGAGCCTGATGTGCGGTTGCTAAATGTTCGGGTTGACTGTGCTCAAAATACTGCGTTGGGAATAAAACATTCCCACTAATGCGCGAATGTTGTTCAGAGCGGAGTGTTTTCACATCTCCTCTGCGTCCCGCACGGCGCTGTAGCCTGAGCTGCAAGATCATTTAGCCTTTCATCTGTCCTGGGCTGTCAATACTTCTTTTTTTTTTTGTGTGTCTCATGATGCAACTACGTGGCTCTGAAATGCAACCCTTTGAAACATTTGGAGGCCAGCAGGTGCATCTCTTTCGCCTCGACACACGCCGTCGAATCAGTGCGAGCAGCTGGGGGCCGAGCGGCAGCTGCCACCTGCTCGAAAGCCACTCGTGCGTCCGCTCTGATTCAGGGGTCGCCCGTCGAAGCGCCGAGGAGCAGTCGTGTTGAGACACCGGAGGAACGCGACGGTGAGGTAATCAGTCACTTAGTCGAGCGACTGAAAAACAATGCAAACATAAGAGGAAGGCCAAAGGGTTGGAAAAACAAGGTTCTGCTGCTCGAAATAGATGTTTAGCAGAGGCTCCTCCAATCTCGATCTTTCAGTAGTTTGTAAATTAGACAAATCAAGGACATTGGGGACATTTCAATAAAGTTTTCTCCCATTTTATTCATCACATGATTGATTTATTAATTGGGGAAATAATCATCAGACTAATTGGCCTTTGTTCCCAGGAGCCATTTAGTCAGGCAACGGTAGCAAAAAGCACACGTGTAAATACTAGAGATGAACGACTGCTTTAGTTTGAAGGTCCTGATGGAGTGTACGAGGAACGATGACCTGCGATGAGTCAGCATTCTTGCACTTCCTGTTCCCTCGTCTCCAAGTCGACGGGTTTAGATCCCTGAAATAAGGTTGTCTCGGGTATAACATGTTCTAACCTTTTGTTTTACAAACCAAACACAGATAACTTCTTGTGATTTCTTAAGCTTTTCTGTCTTAAAGGAGGCGGTTGTTGACAGGTGACTAAATTACACTCAACCATTATGCTGACTGGTTTTAATCTCAAGCTTTGTCCTCTGCGGATTGCATTCGCTCTTCAAAAGTCATAAATGTGGCGTTCATTCATGAAGACGATCTCGCTGTACAAAGCGTTCAAGTCTAATTCGTTATTTATTGCCACACGGTTTAATTCTAATCCCAAATTCAATGGAAAAATCCCATTATCTTTTTGTGTAGGGAACCAGAGTGATTTAAAAATGATTCATCCCTGCATCACTGTCACGGTTCTTAGCTTATTAGTTTCTGTCAAAATGTCAGCATTGAATGAATCTTTTTTATTTAATAATAACAATAATTGTTGCAGCATTAACCTTATACATCTAAAGAAATATGAAAAAAAGGTTAAATGCAAAAGACACCGGTATAAATAACGTATTCTGATCATGAATCAGTAAATCTAGATGTTAACATATGAGGTATAAATTATTCATTCAACCGCAAATCTGCCAACAATGCAGGAATATTTCCATCAACCCCTTATGCACACGAGCGCTCACCTGGAGCCCCCACGCGCAACCAACCATTGCAGCTCCTGCACATTGCTCAAAGGCACTTCAGCAGTAAACACGCTGTGAACAGGACAACGCCACCACTCTATCAAGTCTGCTGTCACCAAGCAGATTCAAATATATGTTGTGGGCCTTATACATATGTTGCTTCTGATCAAGTCAATGGCAACAATTTGCATTTCACACAATTCCTACAAAGATATCACAATAATGGACAAAAGGGGATTATCTTTTCTAAATTGGTAGCCATACAGTGTATTTTAACATCAAACATGGATTACATCCGTAGAATCTTAAAATGTATATGAAATTGCTGACACATGAGGAGCAGATTTCAATCATGATGTACTCTTTGATCTCTTTAAGTAGGAGTAGCAATACCACATTGGAAATGAGAAAGTTACATTAATACATGAGAAAGCAACGAGCAGCAAGTTGTGCCTAAATTATCAAAGGTTAAAGTACCAATAAGGAACAATGTCTTCATTACCACAAATAAAATAGTTATATTAAAACGTATATATTCAATGTATTAAATATTGTTCTAATAACGTTTTCGGTCAGATACATACACTGCATATAAAAAGTACACGATTATTAGCCCCAAAGATAAAAATGAAAATATAAGTATTATTTCAAATGTGTACAATATTTTACCAATGCTCATTAACTCCAGCGACATTTAAGTGTCCTTCGATAAGGAGTGCGCGGCCTCGTACTCACATCTCAGGTTGCGGCGCCCGCCTTTGTACATGTTCACGTCTGAACGGGGACACACGCGTGATGTCGCTGCTGTGGACGAGCGGACTTTCGCTTCTCCTGCTAAAAAGAGAAGCCAGACTGCGCGCGCCCCTTCGGCAACAACACGCGCCGCGGAGCCGCTTCGGACCAAACCATTTGTCGAACTATTCCAGGGGGAGCTCTGGCATCACAATTATTCCTCCTCTCTCCAAAGAAAGCAGTCAAAATAATGTAATTTACTTATTTTTGTTTGTGTGAAGTATAAATAGCGCAGTGAGGAAATTACAAAAAACTTATGATGTGATATTTCAGACGATTGGACTCACAAAATGTCCTTTCCCCCCCTTAAATGCAGAATGAATGTGACCAGAAAAAAGCAATTTAAAGTGAAGGAAGCAAATCAGGAAGACTCCACGCTACAACAGATTGTTTATTTTGGTATGGTCCATCAGCCAGGACTATAGCCCATAGTCCCTAGCCAACAAGGCATTCACCGCCCACTTTAAACATGTAATTAAACACTAGAAGGTCTTGGAAATGTGGTTTCAACTAACTGGGATTTGTCAAATTCGATGTGTTCAGTGACAATTTACCTTTTCACATAATTGTTTGATGTGTCAACATATAGTGGAAATGGCTCTCACAAGTTACCATCGTGTCTTACATTGTAAAATATCTTGGTTGATACAACAAACAGTCCAAACCTATAAAGTACTCATTTCTATTGAATACTAAGAAAAATAATCATGGATTCATTGAATAATTTTCACCCAGTTAACTGCTTTATCATGCTCTTTTTTAAATTGTAGAACGTAAAATCCCCTCAGGTTTATATATATATATGTTGCCAACCCGTTTGTTGACTGCTCTACAGTTGGTAGATCACATTTTGAGTGCAGCATATCTGAAGAATGTATTGACCTTAACTTAACCTGATTGAGCCATCTTGGACCTCATTTTTTATCTAATTATATTATATATACAAATATTTTTTTTTTTACAAAACCCATTTTTCACTGGCTTTCTACATTACACTGGTTTTCTAGTACATTATTAGTATTTCTCATGTCATATGACAATCGATTTCAAAAAAGAAAAAAGGGAAAATGTGGGTATTTGATGATTGGAAAATTAAGAAAAAATAGTCTTGCCTCATGACTCACAGACTTACACAGAATCGAACACACATTTAACAAAAATTGAAAACTTTATCAAAGGATGAATACTGTTTGATATTTAAGATTCATCCTATAAAATACAACCTGCATCTTGCCCCATTTTAAACAAGACCTCGCTGTTAAAACCATTTCTTTCAGTTGGAATGATTCATCAGCCGTCTACCATCCCTCTCTTTCTTAAATGTAATTTCAAGTGGATGGACTTGAGAGACGCACTGAATGAGCACCTGGGGCTCCGCCTACTGATTCCCCCGTTCTGCTCTAGATGTAATTGTAATATCTAATTACACTGACGAGGGGCTTGCAGCTGTCTCGCCTGACGTATTAGTTAGTTAGGCTACTTAGTATGGAAAAAGCAGTCAAACACTAAAATGCAGCTTTTCACAGCATGAAATGAGTCATGAATGAAAAACTGTGGTTGGATATTCTATTCTGAGTTCGGCTACTGAGAATAGGAATGAATTGTACAAGATGTCCTCATGTCCTCGTTTTGGTGGCGTCGTCCTCAATGATATTCTTTCAGCACCATCTAGTGTTCATGCAGATGGGAAAGTCATGGATGCATGAATTGTGAAGCCTGAAACAGCTGCACGGTACACAGCATTACATATTCATATTTCAGAGTAAACGTGGTGACTTTGAGATAACCATTAATTGCTTAATATACAATAATAAAGTTAACATTAACACCTTTTGTTGTTTTCCTTCACGTTCACACAGAGAGGGAAGAGTCGGTCCTCTTCACAGAGTTCAGCACGTGGCAATGCCATGTTTCTACATTTCCAAGCTTTACGACCTTTCTTTTTTAGGAATTCATGACAGGACTGATCAAGTTGACGTTGCAGATACAGATGTATTATGGTGTTCTGCGGCTTTTCAACCACACAGAGGCGCCCAAAGACCAGCGGACACACGTGAAAGCTCTCACACAGTCAGACAGGAGGAGCTTCAGCATCTTGCAGCGGTTAAATCTACTCGAGCAGAGGACTTTCTGGTAACTCCCGCTGCATAAAGCGTGCTCAGGGTATTACAGGTTTGAAACGGACCCTGTAACCCCCCCTCCTCCTCCCACCGCCATTAGTCACACCTTCACACATCTGTCTCTTCCCTGCGTGGGATTTAATAAAAGAGAAGAAAATGTAAAGAATTGATCTATTGTGCATGGCTGCGCCCTCCCACCTGGCAATATATTTTAAAACCTGAATCAAATCTAAAGCTCATGTTTAAAAGATGATGAGGGAAGAGTTAAGTTTCACGGGGGTGGCGCAATAAAGGCAAATGGGGTCGTCGTGGCGCAGGGGTTAGAGAAGGTGTGCTGGGAAGCACAAGGTTGGTAGTTTGATTCCAGGCTGCCCCATGTTCCATGTCGAAGTGTCCCTGAGCAAGACAACGAACCTCTAATTGCTCCCCGGGCAAAGATGTGAAAAGCCACGGGTTTAAAGTGTAATGTAAGTCGCTTTGGATAAAAGCGTCAGCTAAATGACCTGTAATGTAATGTAATGTAAATGACATGATTTCCAAAGCAGAGAGTGAGGTTAGCGGGGGCTCCTTTGGTGTACCTCAGACACTGCTTTGCTAATATACTGAATGCATGTGTGTGCATGTGTGTCCCCGGGCACTCAGTGTTTGCAGAGACACTATGAAGTGCAGTCGGTGCAGCAGCAATTTGCAAAGGAACGCTTCACTCTTATTGCTGTCTGAAGCCTTTATTGACGAGACATACATTCACCTGAGGTCTTGTCAGCCTAACGCTCTTTCTTATCTCTCAGGAAACTATTCGTAAAATCTAGTAAAACCCTGCAGTGGTTTGTCAGTGTGCATAACAAAGAGAGGAGCTCCTTTGAGCGGATGCATCAATGCAGACAGGACGAGTCAGACGGTACATGCATTTGTTTTGACAGCGGGGGGAACCGCTTTGGGGGCAAAAAGTACTGAGGTTTTTAGAAATGTCTCAAATGTTTTCAGTCAGCAATCAGGTTCGAAAAATTGACATATTTTGTGATCAATAGTCCTCTCGTAGCCCAAATGTATGATGTTGACATGCTAGCTGTTTCCCCCTGCTTCCATTCTTTATGCTAAGCTAAGCTAATTGAATCCTCACTCTAGCTCCAAACAGAGTTATGAGTAGTATTGGTTTATCTTCTAAATCTTGACAAGAAATACAAAAATCGCTCTTTCAAAGGATTGATGTCAACTATATTTTTCATTGTCATTTATTATAATTACTAATAATAATTTTCAAAGCTACCCAGACAACAATTGAATTAGGTTTAGTTTCACAAAAGGTGTCAGTCATAGGTGTTGTCATCAAGTCTTAGGGAGTAAAATAGTTAAAATGGAATAAAATAGTTCTTAACACAAATCATTTTACAGTAAATTGCAGTAAACACAGCTGCACCTTGGTGTTTTACCACAGGCCATGTGTCATTTCACAGCCCAGAAATGCATGAAACTGTCTGGAGGTGGAATTACAGACGTGACCCTGCAGCGCCGTCATTCGTTTTTAATGAGAGAGGAGATTTCAGAGGACTTTACTCCTTCACGTACGAGGCTTTGAGCCGATCCATAAGCAATATAAGGAAGAAGGGATCCACTCGATGTCCATGAGGACCAGGATTTGAATGTTTCCCCCTTGTTGCTGTCGGCCCGACTGACCGTCTGACCTGTACTTTCAAGCTCAACCCAAATGTTCTGCGTCTTAGCTTCTTCACACCAGCTGTACCTTTAGAGTTATTTTTAAGGTTCTACTGATCAAATTGTAATCACAGGATGTTTGTCCATAAATACCATGAACCAGATGGCAACTTCAGGTATTAATGATTAGAAATAATGAAAGGATTTCAAACACACTAAACACGTTCATTTTGGAAAATATAGCTATTAACTACCATAATAATAAATGTTGCAATCTAAAAATGAAAACTTTTCAACATTTGGTTTCACTTTTAATCACTGGACGTATTTTCGCTCAAAGGTGTTCCAACGATAAACAAAGAAGAAAAGGGAATCCTTCCACAGGCCAGTGCTGCACGCACCACGTTATGCAGTGTCGGTCTCTCTCATGTAAAATAAACACACATGCTTCAATCAGACTTCATCCACATTTGAAACGGCGTTACCTAGGGACTGTCCCGCGACGACCCTGGTGTTCTCCCCGGCCACGGCTGCCCTGGCGTTCCTCTCACTGGCGTACTGGACGAAGGCGTAGCCTTTGTGCGCCGAGCAGCCCACAATTTTGCCGTATTTGCCGAAGATGGCTTCGATGTCGCCCTTGGTCACCACGGCCGTGTTCAGGTTTCCAATGAAGACGCGGGAGTTGAGGGAGCGCGGGTCATTCTTGTTGGTCACGTTGCTGGTCTGGGTCTTCCCAGTCATCCTAGTCCTGCAGCCTGCTGGGAGACACAGTTGCACACTGCTCAGGAAGCCGGGAATGTTAGACGATGACAGCGTTCTAAGGGCTGAGAAAACAACATATTTGTTTTCATAAAGCCATTTAAATTGAAAACAAGAATGCTTTGATACCAGTGCATTATGTAAGGCACGCTTACTTACATTCTCAGTTATTCCAAAACTAACGTCTGGGATTCTTTTTTAGGTAATCATTTGGTCCATAGAAAGTCCTGACGTCTTCAAATAAGAGCTGCGACCTCCGATCAATTCATTTATTCACACATTCTTTGACTTTATCTTGATTAAGAAATTGAAGTCTAAGGAAAGTCTTGCTTTTTTCTGACCAATCATTCAAAACACAAAGATGTTCAGTTAATTGTATTAGAAATCCAAGGCCAAGCAGATAATGGGATTTTTTTGGTCATTAATCAAAACAGTTTTAATAAAAACAACTTCTACTTGATTGTTCTACATGTTTGTGAAGCTCTAAGTTGCACATTTTTTTTCCTAAACAACAATTTAAAAGCCCATGAAATGTCATTTCTAACAAAGGAATGGTTAATGGTTAATAATTCTGAAGGAAGGACCAGTGAAAACCAAAACAAAACGAGACTTCAATGGTTACTCAATTATTTAAAAAGATGTCCATTATTTTTCTCAGTTAATCTATCCTTCGATTGTTGGTCATCCAGCTGTTCTCTACATCCTAAGACCAACATGTGAAGGTCTGAGATCTTTCTGCAGAAGGCAAGAGTAACGTTATTAAACATGTGAATCCGACAATTCTCGCTGTATGTGAGAACTCTGTGTTCCCATGTTTGACAAAAGCTAGAAGCCACAAACAAGATTCTTCACTCGCCATATTAGAGAAGGACAAGAAAACCCTAAATGATGTTGTGAAAATCTGCTCCAAGATGATTGGAGTCCTTTTGTATGAGAAACAACGTGGCCCGAAAAGCAAAAGGAATTATCTGCCAACCTGACCTTGTTCTGTCCACTGACCTCAGTGTGATGCCCTCAAGCGTCACAGGAGGAGGAGAACAAACTAAGTCCTTCGTTCTGTCCGCTAATTTAACAGAGAGAAAAAGAAAGGATGAGTACTTTTGTAAGATATCATAAGAACCGTTGTATGAGGATTCATGGTTGTACCCTGTCAGGTTTAATGTCTCCCTCCTCTAAACCTCTCAAATGGTTTATTATTATACTATACTATTTTTATGGGTAAAGAGGTAAAATTATTCAACGTAAAAATAAAAATAAGTTGTTAATTTCACAATTCGGTCAGATTTGTCTTGTGACCCTTTGGAGGGGCCCGAGCCTTATGTTCGTAACCAGTTTCCTGAACTATCAAATATTAAATTGTATTAAAGAATAATCATAAATGACCTACTATATAAATTGATAACATGGATAAAGTAATGTCAGGACTTTACCATTGTTGTATTTAAATTTTACTTAAGTAAAGAGAATACTGTTGGTTTCTGAAGTCTTCTTGCATAATTAATCATTGTATCAACAACACATTTCAACCTTATTTATTCCCAAACCAGGTTAACAGAGAGAAGTAAAAAAGCATTGAGCTGCACACAAACAATTACAACCTCCCTGCAGCGTTTGTTCCCACAATGCTACAGACCTCTGGGGGGGACCAGGAAGTGTTGCCATGGTGATACATTAAGTACGTCCACTCGGAGAAGACACAAGTACCTCTCAGGTTGTTGCTTCTTAAGAGTTCCCTGTTGGTGGTAATTTATGAGCCTGTATCTTTCCATAATGAGGCTTTTAGCACCAGATTGGGCTCTACACATATTAGCATAACGAAAGAAGCTCACCTCATAATAAGTAAGGCTATGCGACGTCTATGAATTTAAGCAATGAGTTGATAAATTAATCAAATTAAAATCAATATCCTACCTACCTTGTTATATTATGATGATGAATTAATTCTCTCTGAGTCCAAATAACAAATTAGCCGCTAGTTATTCTCTTGATTAAATTGTTTTCTCAGAAAACGCTAGTTAAAAATTACTATCATGTCAAATATGTCTTATTTTGTTATACTTGTGCTACTCAGAGAATTGAGCAACAATCCAAAACCCCCCAAATTCACCCTTTAGTTAGATTAAAGAAATCATCACAACAGCTTTCTGATGATAAAATAGTCATTGACAAATGAAATAATGTCCATTCCAGTTGGATCATACGACATGCAGCTAAAAGGCAGACTATTCATCCATGCATTTCAATGTGTGCATTGGGTATGAATCCAAATCAGCACGAGAAAGGATGGAGAAATGATATGTACATTTCTCTAAAAATGTATCTCACACATCCTGACACACAGAAATACACAAACACATGCAAACACCAGTACTTCAGGCAGTGAGGAACTCCTCCCATCACTGTCTTCCCCGTCGTACCTGCTCACTTCTATTCCTAAAGCACGCGTAACCCTTTGCTCCTCGCAGAATGGAGGATAATTTGACACTGCTGGTCGCATTAAGTGGCGATGTCATCTGGAGTTAATCACCTTAAATATCAAAACGGGGGTCTATAAAGAGTGTCAATCCAATCAAATCCTATCCAACCCTTCTCTACCTTTGGACAAACCTCACAGCTCTGACGCCCTACATAACCAGCTGAGTGACTGATGGGAAGTGCACTGAATGGAAAATGGGAAATGCACAGAGGTGCAGCCGTTAGGCGGTTGATTCATCTAGAAAGAGCACATTTCTAAACAGATTTAATATCCAAAATTGGGATTTTCCTAATTTAATACCATTTAGCGCGGTAATATTGCCAAATGAAAGCATTGGATTTCTGTTAGTTAAACACAAGGTAAAATGTTGAATGAACTGTGTTTGGTTAGAAAGACAATTAGCGATAAGAATAAAAGAAAAAAGTGATCACATATTAGTTGAAACAGTTGAAAGCAGAGAAATGTGTCTGACACCTGCAGTAGAGTCACTGCTTTATCAGCAAATACACTATTATATATTACGCTTACATATTTTTCCATTAGATTAAAACTGAACTAACAGCATTGAGTAAAGGAAAAAACACACTGTGTAAATCTACTAAGATTTTAGCACTCATAAAGGTGTTGTGCGACTGTTGTTCATTTGGATTTGCTGTTTAAACTGTTGCTAAACTCTTGTTCCATAAAACAAATGTGACTTTTCCTTTTTTTTATTGAGCCCCTGTAACGTCAAGCCAATGGTGTTTCAAGACATTGGGGAAACAGGTTGAAAGGTTGAACATGTTAATTAGTGGGTTTTGGAAGAGTCTGTTTCCAATCGTGTCAAACTTCCTTCTGGACAAAATGTAAATTAAATTAAATCTGTAAATCTCACAACTACAGGACATCCGTGTATCTCTTTCTCCATGTGCGTCGCCTCGCACAATTTTGTTTGGAAATATACCTACATTATTCAAAATGGCAAAAAACAAACAAGACTCTTTTAAAATGTTTATGAGCCTGGAAATGTGCCAAGCCAGAAAACACACTCCTGCACGACAGGAATACAGAGAGTTGTTTGGATTCATGCTGGCGCGCGTAACGCTCCAGAAAGAACGCTGGATAACTCCTCCATGCATCAGTGAGGCTGTGAAAGCATCCCGACTTACATGCTTTTGCACGCAGCGGCCTTTTGTTTTGCCTGTAAAGCGTCTGTAAAGTGTCTTATAACCGTAAAGCGAGTGCTTGAAAGTGATTTTTTTTGTTGTAATCTCCAGGGCTTCCTGCCGTGACGCAGAGGCCCCAAGATTAAGCGTTTCATGGACCTCCTTCGGGTCCCTTCAGAGACTGAATTCTCCGGAGATAAAGAAGCGAGGATCAGGTGAAGGTTCCTCTCTCCTCATTCTAGGCGACGCGTGTGTGAGGGATGCATTCAGGACACGCTCACTGCGCGCCGATCGGATGTTGCATTGCAGTATTTCATCTTTAGTGAGCAGCTCACCTGAACCCCAACAGAGGAGAATGCTTTGCGTTTGGACACGTTAGTCTCGACTTTGAGTTCCTTTCTTGGGAAACAATGACCAGGATGAAGCATGTGTCATTTTTTTCTTTTTGTGCCATTATTTTGAATGGCAGCCAAACACATTACAACAGGAAATATGTGGACTGAAATCCAATTAGATTTTTAAATTGAGAAACTACACTGCAGTTTAAGTACGGGTTATTTTCTTTCTTTCTGCTGTTATGCGAGAACATATGCAGCATAAAATGTGAAGATTTATGAAAATGCTGGTGTGAATATAATGAAAGCTGAAAAAAGTGATCTATCATTGACAGAGCCTCGGGAGATTTAACAGCCAGAATAATGATTGTAGCTGACCTGACTGCTAGACCTCAGTTTAATACTCAGTTTTAAACAACGAAAAGAACCTTCATTAGAACGAATGTAGAAAGACAAAATAATATTCTCACGGTAATCACAAAACATCAGTTAACTATGAGGACTGGAGGGTCAGACTGCACCATGACTAAGTAGTATTTTATCACAGAACTTAATGAATTAAACATTTGTCAGGCTGGTGAAAATAGGCCATAAAAACAGCATTGTATGGATCCGCATTAACATGCAGTGCCAATTATTTGCCATCCTGCAGAGAGGAGGGAAGATTGATGCCACTCCTCAAAGTGTCAACAACAGGCACTGCAGGCTAAGATAAGCTAAGCTAACCGTCCTGTGGCTTCATGTTTAATCATTATTTAAATAATACGCCTTTTTCTTTAGTCACAGCCAAACACAATACAAACATTTGTGTAATAGCGAAACTATTGGATTGAGAAATATTTGTCTTTCGCCATTGACAAAAGTAAATAGTTCTGTATACCAAATCGTGGTCTTTTTGTTTGTATTAAAAAAATAAAATGGATTTTTCAGTAAAGTGTCCCCGACTTTTAAATACAGCCTAAACGTATAAACTATACATTTATAGTTTATACTTCTTCTTTATACTGCTACTGAACTGCTGCCTTGAATAATAGAAAAGCTGTATTGAGTCCTAAAACCGCTTAATGCACAACATGCTTAATCACACAATATTAAATTAAAATGAGGGGTGAAAATGAGAGTCAAATTCTATTATGACTGAATGAAATCTAATCACAGAACATAACGAGTTTAATTTAGACACACCCGCTATAATAAAAAAAAGAGCAGCTTTGTACGCGTTTTTTAATGTTAACATGAGGTGTGTGTGTGTGTGTAATAACAATGCTGTGTGGGAACCGATGAGCTTTTTAATAACACTTTCTCGCCCTCGTTCATTTTATCCCTGCTCCCCTTCTGCCATAAATTACTCAACTAATGCTCCAACAGAAGCAGCTATTGCTGAATCATTCAAGGCCTCAATTAGCAATTAAGGGCTAAATGAATAGAGGTCCTTTCTGGGCCATTCTGCTCCCAGCACACAGGAGCCCAGTGGAATCTAATCTCTCCTTTAGGACTTGTACAGTAAATAACCAGCCAGCTCTGCAGAGCAGATAGAGAATAGCTGGCTATTGCCCACATTTAATGAGGCAGCTTTGAGCCCTGTTTACTGTACTATGTACCTGGAATCTTAACCAGGACGGATGGCTGGCAAAGCGCTACCCTGATATTTTTCCTCTCGGTTCTTACACCCCATTACCTTCGGCATTACACCTGCCTCCGGTTGGATTTGGAGCAGAAGGAAATGCCAAACAAAAGGAAAGAGATGCAGAAAGCAGAGCGGGAAATGAAAGCGGTTGAGATGGAAGGAGGGAACTTTAAAAAGAATGAATAAGAAAAAAGACATTTGCAATGCCGAGCTTAGAACCTGGACCAGCATTTTAAAGATAAAAAGGCAGGCAGACATCATGAAGTCGGTGGGTAGCTTATAAATAATTACTTTGAGTGTGTCTTTTCGTAGTACTAACTTGTTTTATTTATATATTTTCATACCTTTAATGAAGTGGGAGGCAAGGCTTCACATGGAAAACGCCACAGGTACACACTCATACGGAGCTCCTGGGAAGAAAAGGAACTCCATTCCACCGCCCCCGCCCCCCCCCCCCCTTTTCTTCCCTCTTCCGGTGAATTTACGGAGGCTCAGTAGAGCAGAGGGACTGGAGGTAGATGATCACCTACTGAAAATGAGTTGCACCATAATCTGATCCGAGCAACGTAAAGCCTCGACCAGCCACGACAGCAGGGAGATAAAAGCACCATGTGACCCGCGCGCTGCGATGGGATGAAGCCGTATCTCTGGAAGACATTTTATCTTTCATCTTTCAATAATAGAAACGCCGAATGTCTCTGTAATCGGGGCATTTGTGCGTCCTTTCATTACAGATCACACAACCTGATCGTCGAGGTCGGTGTGAGTAATATGTACAACTTCTAACCGTTTGCACCGTCAGCTTTTGTAAGCAGCCGCGGGAGCGATCGGGTGGCTTTCGTGGCAAATGTTGCTCTAATGATCCCACAAGCTCTTGTGGTTTTAGGGGAATTTTTTTCACCCTGTTTTCTTGCTCCCATCAGCCTTGACCAACTATTTGAATTCAGAGATTCTTTACTGCATCACTGCAGGCCTCTGCCTTCTGAGTGGGCTCAACAGTTTGCTTCTTACTTCATTCACAGACTTTTTCTGTGAAAAATGTCAGAGGATTACGCCCACGTCAATTATCGAAGGAAAAGTGTGAGAAAAAGACTCCTCTTGCAGTGGTTGGAGGGGTCCGCAGCCACACTCGAGGGGATATGAACACACGCCACGCTTTCCCTCATCTCTTGGCACGGACATATTTCTCCACTTCCTTAATTCTTCTCTTGTGCGACTACCAAATATAGCTTTCGCTCCACTGAGCTCCAGTAACTGGGTTACTAGATCTGTGAGTAATTAGCTCTGTGAGGTTGTGGAGTGAGGCTCGTGAAGTCATATCGGGGTAATGCAGGGTGAGAGGTTAAAGCCAAAAGAGGGGAAGAGGCTGCCACACATGTGGAGGATCCTTGAAACAGGCTGCAGGCTTCATCCAATGAATCAAATAAATGCAGCTGAGTGAGATATGTATGAAATGGAGCTTCTTCCCTGAATGCTGTGAAACTCTGAACTGATTATAATTTCATTCCAGGAATAATTTGCAATTTAAATGGAGGAAATGGTTCCGGTTTGCTATCGAACAGGACAAGTTGGCAATTTTTTCAGTTTTAAGTATAGAGGAACACGCATTTTTCAGACACATAATAGTGAATACACGCCACATCCAAGCTGGTAGAATATAACATGCAGTGTGAAAGGAAAGACCTACTGGCTCCCTAATTTCTATATTTGTTCACAGGTGTTATCATAACCGGTACACGTCATAAAACATGCAAGTAAACCAACAAAGTGTAAACGTGTCTCTCGATACTCTCCAACTCCCTGCGCCTGTCTGAAGCCCACAAAATCTTCCCAGACAGGGAATAAAAAGGTCAGTTTGTTGGGGACTAAAGTTTCACTTTAACAGCAAGTCCTGTGTTTGTCTCATCTCTCAAGCCCTCTCCCCAATCGCATGTCTTGCCCTTCATCCTCGCTGTTACACCATCCAACGTTCAACAACGGCAGCTCTTATGCAACCTCAGGTTCGTAACCCTTTCCCGCTGGGATACGGCAAACCCTCAACCCTGTCCTGTTGGGACTTTTTTATTCTAGGCCTCGTTTTTTACTACTCATGCCGCTAACTTGTTGTTTTAGTTTTCACAAACGCAGCGGGTAGTGTTGAAGTGCAACAACTGTCCCGGGCACAGACATACTTGTCCCTTAGTAAGAAACTGACTGTGTCCTTGGCAGTCGCCCTGATCAGAGCTGGTAGTCTATTGGTTGTTGGCACAGGAAATACTCTAAATATCACCCACATACCAATTTGTAATCTTAATACAAGTATGTGGACTCAACTTCTCGAATCATGACTCCTATTATTTTTAATAAGAGTCAATATGTGCATGTGCCCCCTGGTCAGACAGAGTATTTAGTAAACCAATCGTCTCAGCCTGCATGGAAGGATTTAAAATTGGTCAACTCTGACAATATTATGCAAAACAATCCTTGTGGAATTATAATAGAACTTGTATGCACAATGTAAGTATTTCTGTTATTTTGTTTGGCAACAATACAAATACCAGTTGTTCATGTTCATTCTTGTTTACATCGTTCCCCGTTTTCCAAGTGTAAAATATACAGGGACTTGTTCGGAGAGACTATTATCCCATCCGGGGTGAAACCCCTTTTACAGCCATCTGAATGGGGAGGCAAGAGCCTGAAATAGCTCAGAATAAGACGTGCAATGCAGAGGGCAAAGGTGACTGAATGGAGACACTTTCCTTCCAGGCGAGAATCAGCTCGCTCCAGCTGCTCGTGTAATAAAGTGTTGGCAGCTGTCCGTGGTGCTGAAATCAACCACCATCTCTGTGAATGGGTAATGAAAAAGCGGCGCTGTGCTAAATGCTGGTACTGCTCGGGCTAATGACACGAGTCATGCCGAGCATCAGGTGCGCGCAACTGCTGCTTTCTTCCAGTGGCTGAAAAGACAGACTCCGTATTTAAAAAAACATGTGTTGAATATGACTAATGCAGGAATGGGACACGGCGTACGGATGCATGAATAGGGAATGTAACAGGCCGCAGTGGGCATTTCCACATGCATAATGACGCACAGAACTGTTCTTTGTTAAATGGGTGTCGTATATATGTGTGTGCCTGGGTTTCGTGAATTTTAACCCGTGGGAAACACACTCTTTCACGCGGGCACACATGAGCACACTACACCGTTCCTTGTTTTTATCTGACTCGCTCATCTGTCTTTCTCTTTGGTTATCTCTCGCATGCAGGTACGTAAAAAGGAGAAGCGGTCCCTCTCTGGGGCTTCAAAGCCGCAGCCGCACTTAAACGTTTTATTCCATCCGTGTCTCTGAGAAGATGGGACTCCACAGGCGCGTGTCCTCGAAGCTGCCCACGTGCTACACCTGCCAGGGGTCAGTGATCGTCCGCAGCCTACACGGGTGCATGAGAGACAGGCCTCGACTGGCCCGAGACGATTACCTCCCGGACCAGAAATGACGTGCAAAACTTCCCTACCTGCTTGCCCCTCAAGAGAAGTGCTCTCGGTGATTCGGCGCACACAGACTAGCTATTCCAGAGCCGGCCTCCCACTCGGTCCCCAGTGAGAGATAAGTATTGTTTGCGTAGCAGCACATTTCATGCTCGGCTTCCCCCACCTGTTCCCTGACCTGCGAAGTCTGATGCAAAGCTTGTTGAATTCCTTCACCTGCATCTCGCCAGGATGATTAAAAAGGCATTTTTTGTCTCTAGATGTTTTGAAAATATGCATTTTAAGCGGAACGAGATTATATATTTTATTTTATGGAGACAACAAAGCGTAGAGTCACTTTACTTTTGAACTGTTAATTGCAGCAGAATGAAGTGGATTTCTGGCAGCGTGTCGAGGTCAAACTCCCGATCAAATCTATCATTACGATTTGCATAATAAACTGCTGCAACCGTTTTGCGTGTGTTGGCCTCAAGGAGCCAGTCCAACCGTCTCCCAAGTTCCCAAGCTTGTCTGTTGTGTGTGAGTGGTTTCCAGTTGTTTGGCCGTGAGGTCTGTGTGTGAAGCGAGAAGCCGGAGCTGTGTTATGGTTCAAGTTGTTGTTGCTTCTCCTGTGTGTTACGCAGCAGTCATTTGCATGCAGACACTTATTTTACATTTCGTCCAAATTGAAAGGCAACATCCTGCATTCTGTGATGTTTATTAGAAGAAATCACATTGTATTGGTCCTCAAAAGAAACAGGAACTTTTTTTTTAGGATGAAAAATGTCTTTAATCGTGGCATGCTGTTAGATTTGCGTGTCTGGTGGGATTTGAAGACTCACGTACTGTTTTAAAAATCTAAAACCATTTGACAGCTCAATTAGAATCCGACTCTGTCCGAGATATCCGTTTTGCAAAACAAAAAGTTTCTTCGTTAAGGCTGCACAAAGAAGTACGGAGAAAACACCAAAACAAACTCCAGCAGAGCGACATGTCTCACCAATTAGAAAAGCAAAATCCTCACAAGTGAAAATCAAAACAGTTATGCAGACGTGCAGCCTCCAACACCCCGAGAAGCACCGCAAGATCAGAGGAGAGCAGCGAAGGCAAGATCACACCAAAACAAGCCATGATGGAGAAGAAAAAGCGGGAAAAGGTGGCGAATATACCAGAGAGAGCTCGTGCAGAAGAGAGGGAGCAGGTGGAGGAAGCGGGGTGGGTGTGTGTGGGTATCAAGAGCGTCCGCAAAAGCACGTAGAGCTATTTCTCAATAGCAACACTCAGCATCCGAGATGTAAACCAGTGCATGCACGAACCCCCCCCCACCCCCGTCCGCCCCACCACTCCCCCGTGTCGGAATCACCAAGTCAAGAAAGCAAGAAAGAGAGGAATAGAAAAAAAAAATACGCTTAAGAAAATGTCAGTGGAAAATGTACTCACCGAGCGGGAGTAAAAAGGGCTCAATTAAAAATAAATTGGGCGTATAGTCGGACTGCTGGTGTGCAGGCTTGTGTGCAACGAGGCTCTGCGTCCCTATTGCGCTCTCTATCGATGCCGGTGGCGGAGTCACGTGACTCGGGATTGGCCAGAGTTTTTGAATCGTCGAAGCCCCCCCCCCTTGTACTTGTGATGGATATAAATCATCTCTTGTAATGTCATTGAGTTTTAAGCAGGGATTTGAGTTTCTCAAAATAAGGGTCCGGGTGCGGCCATGGGTCACTAACGGGCTCCCAGGGACGGTTTCTATGGCTTTGTTTCCTTTATTAACTGAGTTGAATAAATGCGGTGTGATTGTTACTAAAAAAATTGTCATACACCTTTTGATTGAATGGGTTATACGACAGCAAACCTCGCCTTCCTTGTTGTACATTTTTATTAAAAGATCTAAATCATTTTATCTGGGGATCCTTAATATAAAAAATGATTAATCTTATGCCTCCTTCATTTTTTCAGTCAATCGTTCAACCTTAATTTTGGGGGGAAAAGAGTCAAAGAGTCATACATGTAAAGTAAAATACATTGAAATAATAAATACAGGTTATTCTAGAAAAAATATATCTTTATCACCAAATTATGTTCAATTGATCGGACTTTGATTGACTCTGATCTTTTTTTTTTTTTAAATTAATCAAATTGCAATTACTGTATATGTTTAACAGCTGGCTTTTTTCTTCAACTGATCAGATTCAAATAAACGAAATTGCCTGTTTATCAATTATTTGCGCCCTCTAGAAAAAACTTTTCTGAAGTGATATTACTTTAGTTTACGTGTGTAGGAATTCTTATTTAAGTCAACACAACCTTCAAAGTTGTCCCCTCCTCTTCCTTCGGGCTCAACAACAACAGGTAAACAACAAGTTAACAGCCAGTGACCACCCGCACGCTGTAGGTGGTCCCCTTGTTACATTGGAGTTTTTCCATCTCCATGGGCATTTTCACCATGCAGTTCTTAGTTTAAAGCTCAGTCAATGCTAATACCCATTAAAGTGTAATGCGTTACAAAATATCACCTCATCACACTGACTCACTAATAACATAACATAACATTGTTATATTATATTTAAGTGTTTTAAACTTAAACCCGAGCAAGATCTCACATAGACTTTGGGGTACTTTACGCAGAACGTCAAAATCTGTGTCCTGCGGTGTATTCGCATCTCCAAAACGTATAAGGCTCAAACCTGGCTTGTCATCATGTTTCATTTTCATCGCTCTCTGCAAGGTCGACAGATCCAGGGTTTCTCCCCATTCCCCGAGGAAACAGGAGCGGTCATGCCGACAAGAACAGAGGCGTCTGCTGCTGCTGCAGCGCCTGGCGCTCATACGAGCGAAGGGTCTGAATGGATCAATGGCTTCTCAAGGGGCCCATAGAGACAGACAGATTTGAAGGGGCACGATTCCTACCTTTACATTATAAGGATAGAGGAGGATGAGCGGAATCTGGTTGGACCACCCAATATGTTAAAAGGCTGTTTAAAATGGTTTAATGGTTATAGGCAACTGAGTTGAGGTGCCCGTCAAGAAGCAGGTAAAGAGTTTTTGGTGAAAAAATCCACCTGCCGCAATACAAAACAACCCGACGAGAGCCAGAAAACAAAAACACGCTAAAAGATGCTAAAATGTTCTTCGTATTATCCAAAAAGTAGTTGTAATTACATCTGCTTTAATGTTGCAGACAGGTGATCATTAGTTTGCGCTGACATACAAACAGCTGGAGCAACTTGATCCAGAACTTTCAAAAACAAGCAAGAAAAAAGAATGAACCTAAATAATATCGCTATAACATGAACACATAAGAATATTCCCGGGACTGTCACTGCCAAGAAATACTGTATCTGTCCATCTCCATCCCCTTTCCTCCAGCCCACTGCGCATGGTGATTACCTGGCCGGCATCCCCAGCTCCCGGGGAATAGTCCGACAGAACCTGGCACGTGGCTCCTCTCAGCGAGTACGCACCCGGCTCACACCACCTCGGCCTCTCAGACAAAGTGTGCGAATGAGTCCTTTCTTGTAGCACCTGATTTATTCTGTGTCTCGGGTTGTGTGTCGTGTGTCTGCACTCAGCTGTAATTACAGCGTGGAACAGGACACGTAATGGAACGTTAATGGCAAAGGGACTGATGGCTGGCCTTAAATGTCCCCTTTTCAAACCAGAGTAGTGCATTAGCAGCAGAGATTCGCTGTCCTCACGCTGATTGGAGCTATTAAATTCCATTTAGGACATGTGGAAAAGCGGTAGTGAATGCGGTAGTGAATGCGGTAGTGAATGCTGAGTGGTGTGTGTATGTAAACCAATGCTGTCAGTATTATTCAAGGTTCTCTAGGGGAAATAAAACAACTTTAAGCATTTATTTGCAATCAATTCCTTTTCTCACAGAAGTCCTGACTTTCCTGAATTTCCTTAGATGTGCTGTGCTCCTGTGTGAAACTAAAACCCTTGACGTTGTTGAAGCTCACATTCCCCCTGAGCTGCTTGTGATGTCAGCCCTCATGACGTGCAGAGCCGGCATCAAAACCATAATTACATCAGATTTAAAAAGCTCATCTGTCCCGCCAGGCAAATACAAACTAAAGTTTTTGGATTTAAAAATTATGTAGGTAAAGGGTGAAATATTTATTAACCTGGTGTCTCTTTTATCAAACCACAATCACTGAAATTAGAAACCAGCACTGACCTTTTAAAATAAAACATAGGGTACAGCTCATCATAGTCTTGTACTCTTAACTGTATACTTTAATATTCTTAAATGAGCCGTGACACTTTATGATTATGTGGGTTTTAGTCCATCTGGTCATTTGGCTTCCCAATATGACCATCCACATGTTGTCGGTCTCAGTAGCACGATGTGAATTAACCTCATGATATTATCATCACCAACCTAAAGACCAATAGTGGATATTTTACTTGCTGTTGACATTGATAAAACATCACAACTCACACGTCTATCCAAACCGTCGCACTTTCACTCTAATGCGTTCATCAAGCTCTTGTCCAGACGCAGAAGGCTCATGACCTCTGCTAAGTAAACAAAGTTAGCAATTAGCTGGTGAACCAAGTTAGCGATTAGCTAGTAAACTAAGTTAGCGATTAGCTGGTTAACAAAGGTAACAATTAGCGGGTAAACAAAGTTAGCGATTAGCTGGGGAACAAAGTTAGCGATTAGCTGGTGAACATGGCGGAGCATTTAGCCGCTGGAGGGCTGCTAAAGATATTGCCCTTGGGCGTTGGTGGAGGCCAGGAATAGACCCAACATTTGAGTGTACATAGGAAAATGTGACTTTATAAGGTAAACAAGTGACCACTAAAAGTAGCAGAGTCAGCATTCTTCACAATGTTCAATCCCAATGTCAGCGTCTACCTTCCCAGCTGTCTCTTCGCAGAGCAACGTGTCCCTTGAGCTTCCAATTTGGGAAAACCTGCTTACTTTCATTTGGACCCCGATACTCTTGTCAATGTAAATCAGGTGGGACTCTCGGGTCGATCGATGCAGACGTGAGAAAGGATTCACTCTGTACCCCCCAGGGACTCATCAATGACACGGGTCTATTACTCCACAGGGCGAGCAGGCGTGTGTTGAGGGGCTGCTATGAATTGCAAATGTGAAACGACTTACTTGCCGGCTATGCAAAGGCCATGATGTATTATAGCACACTTACAAAACAGACACACAACAGACTAAAAAAACCCTGAATTTGCTCCAAAAACAGACATGATCCGGATTCTAAAGGATTCCTCCTGAATCCGTGCTTGCAGCTTTAGCCCCAAAGGGGGCTACCGTCGTACCTTTTACGTTACGCCAGGAATTTAGCCTGATCTTTCACTCTGCTGTGTCGAGGGCAATAAAAACGTTATTTTTGTCGCCTTTCACCTAGTCTTTGTCTGGTGTTTAACGTTCGATCAGGGATACACTGTGCTCCAAATACGAGTCGTTAGACATGATGCAAGCCTGCTGTGTGGAGGAGACGCTCAGACTCCTGATGGAGAAGTCTGATGCTCTCCCTCATTTCCCTCCTCTCTTAGTTTAAGCTCACGGAGATTACTAAGCTTCCTGTGGGGATTTCAGAAGTTGTCAAAAAACCTTTATCAACCCCGGGCAGTAATCGTTAAAAAGTTCTGACTTTGTGTGCTAAGAGTGAATTTCTGCACCACTTACCGCTTACATTGATGCGTGCACGCAGTATGCAAAGGGGCAAGTGAAATGTTTACATGAAGCCACGAGGGGAACGACGAGCCCGGCTTTGTGCATAGATTACAAAATTAAACAAATTAACCCGTGTTTTAGACGTTTGCTACAAATGCTTTATGTTGCTACGAATGCTATGTTTTCCTGTTTCCAGCATCAAGCTAACCTAAGCTAACTCTCAGTAAGAAAGGCAAAACAGTGGATACCTTTCCCAAATGTTTTGCTTTCCCTTTTAATAATGGCGCATTAAATAAACGTTAAAAAGGATAACGGTGCCATCTTAAACCTAGATACCCATTGTTCATTCTCTGCCGTTCCACAGCCCTTAATTTATCTCTCTCTGCTCATGTCAGGTCATTTAGGTTCACAACCCGTCGGCAGCCCATGATGAGCTGTGAGTTCCTGGCTGGAATTAAGTGTCGTTTGCCTCCTCATTGTGTGTGACATGTGGGTCTCAGCCCTCCGGTCGGAGCGCTTGAATTATTGAACGGGTTCTGTTGGAATGGCCCGACATTGACCCCGAAGCAGCGGCACAGTGTGAGAGGTGAGTCTGAATGAATCTCCCACCTGCAGGCCTTACGGTGCACGGCTCCATTGGAGGGTATTTGTGAGGACGCATTAATAAATAATCAGATGCCAACAAGAAAACTACAACAATTTAACATAGAGACGTGATTTGAGAATATAAAATTAAATATGCAGCTCGAAATGAGCTTTTTGCATGTAAAGATAGCTGGGAGGTAATATAACTTTTTGCGCTGTTCCGCTGAGAGGTTGTACTGTCACAGATGAAAAAGGACCCAAAGCCTCCGTCTCTACGGTCCCACAAAAACGTCACTCACAGCCTT